ATTCGGCATAGTTTTGTTCTATATTTGTTATGTCTTCTGTAAATTTGATGCACTTCGCTCAGCTACTCCGTGCATAATGTTAACGCATGGGGCCCTTCGTTTTAAAAAACTTTCCTGATGCAAACTGCTTGCCTCACATTCTCAATACTCGGGAAAAGGGTTTATTTAAAAACAAAGCAATTAAATCAAAAACAAAGTGTATTCACTCCCACAGCTGCGGGACGTAAACAAGTGAGAACATGACACTAGATAGAGCTTTAGCGTGGTAGTTGTACTACTAAAAGGACAAAAACAGAATATCCATATTACAAATGGATAAAAAACAGTTACAATGAAAATATTATGAACTACTACAAGGGCAAAAACGGTTAGAATATCCATGTTACAAATGAAAACAAAGACAGTTACAATGAAAATACTATGAACTACTACAAAGACAAAAAAAAAGTTACAGTTCTTGAGAAAAAAATATGTTTCAAATGTCCTAGAACTGTTTTTTGTTTAAGGTTCAATAATCAAACAACACTTGTAGAAGCTTTAAAAATACGTATTTCTTTTTCCTACGCAAACGCATTATTTTTGACATTTTAGCCGAGTTTTGGGCGTTTTTCTCTCTTCTAATTTGTTACTCAAAGAAGGAGTGCGCTAGAGACATTTTCGATTGTTGCAAACGAAAAAGCATAAAGAGGCCTTTATTTCCATGCCTTTTAATCGATCCTCAGACGCCTGGATCATTTCCCAATGTAGAGAAAACCCCCTAAAATTCGCGTTTTTCCGAGAAAAGAGGCTACAAATGGGCTGGTAAACTCCAACAGACTATGGGAATCGATTCCTTGCGTATAAATACGTCTTGGGACACCCTGGTCCTGTTCTTAAACAAGTTTTAAGCGCAGCTACAATATCTTTCCTTAATTAGCAAATAAAAGAAAGAAAAGGAAAGTATGGGAGCTTTGCGCGACCTCCAAATCGGTAGGTATCAGGCTCAATTTTTTTTTTTTTCAGAATTCATGTTCAGGTCCACCACCAGGAACCGAATGAATATTTTGAGAAATCAAAAATTATTTTTTTTCATGGCTCCCTACCAACAACATATGCTGCACACTCCAGGGGCTCGGCCTCCCCCAAGTGCAGCGGCAGGTGGTGCAGCAGTGACAAGCGGTGCAGCAGGCAACGGCGGGGGGATGGGTGGGGGGGGTGGGGGTGCTGCGCTGCGATTCCTGCGGCTCTCGCTCGGAGCCGGGTAGCAGCCAGGGTAAACAGATCCGGCCCCGCCGCCGAAGCAGAAGAGGATGAAGCTCCCGCCGAAGCAGAAGAGGATGGAGCTCCCGCCAAGGCACTTCAGGATGAGGCCATTGAGCGCCATGCGAAGTGCCTTGGCGATGTTGTGGCTAGATTATAAGATTCCAATACTTACTGGCGCCCCTAGTCAGCTGGACAAGCGAACATCGCCGACCTGTCAGGCAGAGGTGCTATCGGAACTGCAGTCCAGCTGACTAAGGGATTCGCCCGGCCCCGTAGAGCTGGAAGTTGGAGTTTCGTGTGTATTGTTATTAGCAACTCAGATTACACGTGTTTAGACCATACCCAGTCAACCTTTATTCCCTGACCGAAAACCCGAAACCACCGTCACAACAGCGACGCCTGACAACACTTGTGACCGAGTGACAGCCTTCTCTTCGGCTGAGTGAGAGGCGGGAGCACCTCGAGACATACCTACATTTGCTTGTAAGCTTTGATTTTTCTCTCGTTTTTAAAATATGGAGATTTATGAAAGGTAACAAATCAGATTTCTTTGTGCTACAGTAACGAACGATATGTTGCTGAATTCAGTTTTTAACGTAGATTACGAACGTTATAACTATATTGCCCGTCGGCAGCTTTCTGACGTTACAGGGTCGATTTTCGATTTTACACCAAAAAGCCCATAAAAAACCAATGTTAAAATGCTTTTACCAAAGTGAACGTGTCTAGTCACTGGGTCCCGCTGGCCTTGTTTACCGGGACCTTACCTTTAAATTACGTATTTGACGTTGCGTTTGAGC